TTGCTTTGTAAGATTTGTTAAAGGAGGTGTTTGGGGGATTGGACTGTTCTAGCATTCACCCTCCTTTTTTTGTGTGTTTCTGTGCATGCCATTACCACATCCATTCATTTAAGAAGCCTTAATGTTTTTGCACACACAGCCACGTGGTCTGTTATCAACATTGAGGATCTCAGCCTTATCAACAGCCCGGAGTAAACAAATAAACAAGTGTCCTGAACAGATTTAGTTTTTGGTTGCAATCCACTGGGCAAAGTTCATGTGTGAATCTTGTGCTTCCCAAGTATTTCCCAGCAGAGCTTGAGTATTTTAGTGAGCTTGTTCAAGTGTCCTTGCTAATCTTGTTTGATGAGGCATATAAAAACTCTCTCTCTCTCTTTCTCACTCTGTGTGTGTGTGTGTGTGTGTGTGTGTGTGTGTGTGTCTCTCTCTCAGTCCGTTTTGTTGTGCTATCTAGATGAAGCCAAAACCAAAAATAGTACAATGTGACACTGGTGGGTCTGTGTTAAAAAAAAAAAGAGAGAGTGAGAGAGAGCAGTCACTGTGGCATGAAATTGTAAACATATACTGTTTATGAGTTTTCTTTCCCCTGTGAAGTCTACAGTAACCTGAAACATTTTTCTTTATTATTATAAATGAATTGGAAGCCCAATATTCTTTGCATGAGTGCGTGTATAATGTGCAGAGAAAGAGAGCTTCCATCTAAGACCCAACACAATGAAAATGCAATGAATTGGAATGCCTCACCGATCATAGCAGAATCAGAATTTCCAGCAAGGAAAATCTTTTCATGGCGAATTAAGTGGTGGAGGAAGAAAATGGTAATGAAAAAAAAAAGAAAAAAGGGAAAGGCACAGATGACAAACGCTGCTCCCTGGGCTACGCACTGCAGATTTAAGAACTTTAGCTAAAGCTATGCAGAATAGAATGTGGAAAATTGAATTTACTAAACAATTAAGCATTGAATTAATCTACATCCTGCACTTGAGAGAGAGAAGGACACGAGGAGGGAGAGAGAAAAGGAGCAAGGGAAGAGAGAACATGTGGAGGGGGAGGGGACGAGGCCCAAAAAAAAAAACATGACTGAATAAATCCTAGCTAGCTCATTAGAGGGACAGTGAATATATCAAGTGTGTTGTTGTGTGCAGCAGGACAGCATTCTCTCCGCCACGGCACTCATCTCTCCCGTAACCATCTGCATCCACACCGCCTCCACCCGCTGATCATTTTGGCCCACATATTTACTCCTTCGCTTATGCGCCTGTGTGGTTTCCTCCGGGTGTCTGCTCACTGGTGGACTGCTCTGCGTTTTGGACATTTTTTTTTATTATTAATTAGCTGTTAGATCTGTGGTGGACGAGATTGTTGGGGCAGTTATAAATAGACTCGAGTGCACCCTGGAGATGTCACTCACCCTCGGACGAGACCCTCCCCCATTCCCATGGGACTGAGCGGCAGCCTCCCACAAGCCCCGCTGCTCTTTTGTTCAATTACAGTTAATGCAATAGTTTGCTATTTTCTCGTTCTAATTATATTTTCAAGTGGGATTTGTTGTGTGTTAAAAAACATCATTTTACGTATGGAGGCTCTGGGGTTCTCGGTCTCCAGGGTGCTGTACCATTCTTTTCCACAAAGCTCTGAATAAACAAGTTCCCTCCATTTCTCTCTCTCTCTCTCTCTCTCTCTCTCTCTCTCTCTCACAAAGGGTTGTAGAAACTGGCAATTTCAGTTTTAACTGTTTGCTCCCTGGGCATGTGTTCTAGATTACCTCTTACGGCATACTTTTGGTATGCTGTAGAATACACCATTTTTTCCCCTGGATATAAACAAAAAAAGCATATCTTGAGTGGCTGGCACTATTATGCCTGAGGTTTCTAGGAGACTTGTGGCAAGTCTATAAAATGCAATTTGGATTGTTTCAGAATTAAGGATTTTTTTGGATTGTTTGAGAATTTTATTTTATTTTATATTTTATTTTATTTTTACCTAGAAATATTTTGAGTGGTTTTAATTCAAAGAGTACCGTATAAATAAAAGAGAATAATATTCACGTTTCTCTATACATTTGTTACATATTTTTATGATAATGCATGTTTGTGCATATATGTAGTAATAAACAATCTGTGGAGCAAAACCCTTAATATATTTCCACAGAAATGGAAAGCAATTCATTCCCAGAGTTCTATTCATCTGCTTATGTAATATTTGGATTATATTTTCAGTAAGAATACAGTATTTTACCTACATTTAGCACGTGTTTAAATCCTGAGAACTGAGAATATTCATGTCAAAACCTGCATTTAAAAACACAAAATATATTTTCTGGGCCAGAATTCTCATCTCTGATACGCTTTTTACATCAGAAAAGATGCTGCGGCCTTCATCTCATATTTTCCTGCTACTTTTGTGGAGGCAGCCAGTGATAAGAGGCAACATCTGTTTTGTTCTATAGTACAAGTAGACCCTGCATGGGGCTGAGTGTGTGCAGGCCCCGGCTCGCCATTGTTCCGTCCACTTCTCTTTATCCTCATGTCTGCTCCATTTGCCACATACCATCCGCCTAACAGCTGACACTTTCTCTCTATTATACACCTAAGCTTAATTGTCAATAGGATTTCTCTCTGTTTTTTTCTTCCTCCTCTTCCCAACTTGAAGGAGAATGGCTCTTATTTGATTTCATTTTGATTCGCTAGGCCAGCGAACTGGCACACACGCACACACTTATACCCTCCCTCGCTCTGGGATATAAGAGTGGTGACTGACTGGCTCTTGTTGTATTCAGAGATCTCAAGTTAGCTAGTGCATGTGAATGGACAGGCATGCACATCTTAGCTGCTATTGCTAATTCTTCTTTCTTTGTTTTTATATTTCGTTTCTGGACTATGGATATCCTGTCACTGGTAATACAATGTTTTTTACTTACAGTCTAGTGTGTGTTCTTTAAAATAGTGCAATTGTGCACTGTGAAATGAGAAATGAGACTCTGCTCTGTGAAATGAGAAATGTGTATAAGGAAGCCAGCGATTGTGTGGCATCATTAGAATGCTCAGTGACAGGGTTTGGTTCAATCGTTATTGTAAACTGTGCTGACTGAATTGTCATGTGAGGCTGTAGGGCCTGGAAAGAGGTTGAAAAACAATGAAATGAGGAACATCTGATAAAGCCAGCTGTCTTTGTAGCATGGGACTGTAGCCTGTGTGTGTTTCTCTGTGATCTGATGCCTGATTGTGTGCCTTATTCCCTCTCTGTCTCTCTCTTCCTTTCCGCACAGACTTCATGGAACAGAGACCATGACGATACAGCTTCTACACGCTCCGGAGGAACACCAGGACCATCCAGCGGAGGACACACATCGCACAGCGGTGACAACAGCAGCGAACAAGGTAAGGATCTGAGACACCCTATGATGCATATGAAAGGGATAATGTACAGTCAGCCTGTCATTAACAGTTACTTATCAATTAAATAAATAAAAGGGCAGGGAATATTGATTTGAGTTTATTAAAGAGACCACAGAGTGATAGGACAGAAACAAGCACAGTTAGGTAGAACATACGGGACAATGATTAGTTGCACAATACTTGATTGAAGCATCGACCAATCAGAGTCAAGTATTCCAGAGAGCAGTGTAGTAAGTATGCTTCTATGGAAATGTCACTGACTATGCAGATGTGTCCAGCTTACCACGTACAGCATGTGTATGGAGAAAGTTAAAGCAGATGTTTAGGCCGCTGCTGGCTGGTCATGTGGCGTATGTCCATCAGCTGGTTGTGATAAGACTGCATTAATGAACCTTCCTCTGGGCCCATCTGGACAGGGTGTCTGAAGAAAGCCGCTGGTGATGACAGTCTAACAAAAGAGCTTTTACACTGATGGAGCTTTATGCGTTCTGTTATATTCCGGATGAAGATTCTGAAACCTTCAAAGTGAAATAAAATATTCTCAAAAAAAAAAAACTCTCTTGGGTATCTTCTTGGTAGGATTTCTCTCTCAACTGAATAAAAGCTAACGAAAGCCAACTTCACTTCAACTGTAAACTGAGTCATCTAATGTATGGCACTGTGATTGGCTAGTTCTGTGGTTTAGCCAATGAGAACCAGTGTGGCAGGTGCCGGATGGAAGGGTGGAGGAGGGTTTCAAACAAACTGTAGGCAAAAGGCAACTTCATTTATTATTGAAAGGGATGTCAAGGCAGCAGTTTGAGGGCTGCACAGCCAGCAGGCAAAGCAGGATGAGAGGAGAAAGGACCACATTATGTTCCAGATGACTGAGCAATGATTTATATACCAGCGCCGGTTTTCTCCCTCCGCAGAGAAGGAGAGCAAAAAGAAAAAGGCCGGCCCGGCCTAGTCGGTCAGATGGCCAATGACTAATGTCCCGGTTGCTCACAACACTCTGATTGGATGCCTTAATGAGCACATTTTGTGCCGAGTTTGGGCTCCTGCTTGTGGTGACCTTTGCTCTTTATTGACCAAAGTGACACGTCATTTTTCACATACTTCCAATTATCGCCAGGCTTTTAATAGTTCACCCCCCTCCTTCCTCCCCTCACGTTCCCTCACCCCAGTGTTTTGGATGAGTGTTTGTTGTGTCGTACGCTAGCGGGAAGAGGCTGAGCTATGAACCTGGACGTATGCTGAGTGTGTTCAGTTTGAACAAATGACCCAAGCACTTCAGCCCCTTCAGTCGTATTCACGCCAGTGAAGGTTTAGTGGAAGTATTATGCTAATGTGGGTTAATTGCTGATTGTGTAAAGCAGTGCTGCTAACCCCCCCCCCCCCCCGTATTGCGCTTCTTTCTATGTGCTTATGCTTTATAATTAGCATTAACAAGCTATCTATGTTACAAATATCTGTACAACTTCTGTAAAAAGGCTCTTGTTGCTACTGCACTGTTCCTGCATCTTTAAAACCAAAAAACATCAGTGAATGAAATGAGAATGGCTTCTATACAGAAACAGCATCAATACAAACAAGGATATGCCTTCGAACTGCATAGGAACATTTTACCCACATGCATAACATAGTACATCTGTAACCCATCAACATAGAGATTGGCACCATAACTGATGGTTCTAGTGGTTGCCATTGGCACCATGTTTTCCATACCGCACCTAAATAGCATCTCAGTATGACCGAGGACAGCATTTTCCTTGTTCGTGATTCTGTACCCTTCAAAGTGTGAGTGTCCCCTTAAGCGGGGAGGATAAAGCCCGCTCCTCCCTCTCTGCACTCACAGAAACTTTCTTAGCGGAGTCCAGCAGAGACTCAGCCCGGCCCATCTCTAATTAGACCCCATTTATTAGTGTAGCGTGCTTGTATGCACCCGCCTTTGTTTAACAGCCTAGCACTCGGGGGACATCTTCTTGAATTGTATCTTGAAGCCATCTTTTCTGAGCGTCCACCATCAGTGGGTAAAAAGAAAACAAATCATTATTATGGACTGCTGAGTATTGCTCGCTCTGGACTCTTGGCAAGGCCAGCGCCCACCCAGATTAAAAGAGACACCCTTGGGGTGCAACGGGAACGCAGGCGATATGAGCCCCTACCAAAAAGGGGCAAGGCATGTGGAAAATGACATGCTCTCACATACGCAGAGATCATGCTGAGTGTTTTGAAAGGCTTTGGGTTTCCTCTGCCTCATCAAAGGGTCTGGGAACAAGGTGATGACTACAGGAGTCAGATATGTATCAGCAATTACCAGGACCCATTTGCGAAAGGCCCCATGTGTGCCAAGTCAAATAGTTCCTGTGAGGCTCTTGTTATTGTCTGCATAAATTTACATGCAGAGCCGTGGACTCCAAAACTGTACTGCGGTAAGACTGTGGGAGCCAGTGAGAGCTCCAGCGAGTTACTCAAAGCGAGTTAAGAAGTTAATTTACTTCGACCGAACTCGACAAGAATGACTATTGACAAATGTGACCATTCGGCTGCGGTGTAAACAGGTCAATGTACAGTAAAAACCCATTGAAATGTGTGAAAAATTCTTCTGCTGTAATGTTACATTGACTCGTCTAGTGCTTTTACTTGTGTCGAGAACAGTTGCAGCTAAACATCATGCATCAAACTGATCATTATTTTGTTAGATTGATTGTGGCGAGTGCTGTTGTCATCATTGACTTAATGGTCAGTTTGCTACCGGCCTGTGTGAAGGTCAGTCTGAGCGAGAGCTCTCATTGGCTCCCGGCCACCATTTCTGATCTGCGATTGGCTGCCATCTGAGACTGACCAGCAGACATGGCCTCTGACAGGATGCCAACGAACCTCTGGGCCTGGATCCACCCACCGAGCCCCCGCCTCACGTGTTTGTCAAAGTCACCCGCTAATTGCAACGATTGTCCAGCAGACTGGAAGAGCCCAGCCCCTTTCTCTCTCGCGCTTTCTTTCTGTCTCTGAGTGCCGCCTGCATGCCTTTGCATTTCTCATTTGCTATTTTCAGTGCTCTCCTCAATTGCTGAGTGCACTACAATGCTGATCACTTTCCTTTTTGATTTTACAGCAGGGTCCTGGCTTTTTTTAGTTCAGTCACTTTGAGCTGTTAAGAGGACGCATCTCCACTCGCTCGCTCGCTGCTGTCTGGATGCCCTCGCTCTTTGACTTAGTTTTTTTGCTTTAATCGTGCCTGGTGTGTGCGAGTGTTGTGCTTCAAAGAGCAATAGGAGCTCTATGTTGTCATTCAGGTGTAGTCAGTCAGTGGTTGTTCCTGCCTCACTAGATTCTCCTCTGTGCATGCAAAAGTGCTGCACACAGGAGGGGGAGGCTGAATGCTCTCTGCGCTCCCCGTGTATCAGTGGCAGCACGTTTGTGGAGTAATCTGGACTTAGTTTTTTTGCTTTAATCGTGCCTGGTGTGTGCGAGTGTTGTGCTTCAAAGAGCAATAGGAGCTCTATGTTGTCATTCAGGTGTAGTCAGTCAGTGGTTGTTCCTGCTTCACTAGATTCTCCTCTGTGCATGCAAAAGTGCTGCACACAGGAGGGGGAGGCTGAATGCTCTCTGTGCTCCCCGTGTATCAGTGGCAGCACGTTGGTGGAGTAATCTGGTTAAATCAGAGGCATAATGGCTGATAAAAGGTGTGCGGTTTTTATAGTGCAGGGATCTAAGAGCGGCACCGGGCGGCCCGAGCAGCCCCTGCTGTTTTTCTCTCTCATTCACATCACACATCACATCATACACACCCACAGAAGGAGCAGAGAAGAAAGAGAGAGGGGAAAGCATAGAGAAAACAAGGGATCACAGGAAAGAGAGCAAGGTGCCAATTCCAGTAAGTGTTTGGAAATGCATGTGCTTGACAGGAAGTACGAAATCAAAGAGCAGTTTTTATTTCACATAACACATCATGTTCTCTCTTTCAAGCCCCTTTGCATGATGCTCTCATGAATTTCACATTGTGCCTGCAAATGGCTAAATTTAGCTATTACGACAAAGTCAAGGAGATGCCAGCCTGTGTCAGTGAGGGGCACGAATGGAGCCGTGTCCTCAAGAGCCACTTGGTAGTTTTGTTAGGTTACCTAAGGGAAGGATCCAACATGGCGAACCTAGGAGAATCCGAACCACTGGCGTGTTTATGACCCCACTGAATCTCAGTAGTGATGGCACAACCAACAAGCTACCACTTGTTTCTCCAAAAACGATCAGCGCCAATTGTTTTATGGCCCCACTCCTGATAAGACTCTGTGTACGCAATGTGGTCCCATGGTGAAAAAAGGGGAAACGCCGCCGGTTCCCACACCAAAGAGCAGTTTGCCTTTGGGATTAGGCTGATGTCCTGTGTCATGTGGGAAAAGGAGAGTGAAAAGTGAGAAAGTGCAAGCAAATAACCTGCCCCCCGCCTTTCCCCATATATCAGCTGTTTCTTCTGCTTTCCTAATCATTGCCTTTAACTAGCTTTCATAGCCTGATTGAGCACCTTGTCTCTGGGCAGATAATACTCATAAAGCTGGTATGATAAAGTGTCACTGTTGTGTTTGCTCTTCTGTTTGCTCTGGGATTTAACTACTGCTGAAGTACTTCTCTTCTCTCCCCCCACCCACGATCATGTGAACTCTGGGAGATGGCTGGCTATGGCACTGTTGACATCTTTCTCTTCTTCTATCCACTCTTTTTTATTCTTTGATACGACAGTTTGGTTTAATGTGACAGTGTTCCATCTCTTCTTGTCATTTTGAAGTGGGCAATATCTGTGCCTCTAGTGGCACCTAAAAGAATTGCAAGTATTTAAACAACCCAAAATTGTCTCAAGCTATGTTGCGGGGCAGGACTGCTTGTTTGTTCTAACAATGGAAGACAGGGGAGTGTTTGAAACTGCAATTCTCTATGGTACCACTAGTAGTGCAGAAATTACACTTCACCTTTAAGGATGTTTAGCCCCAGGGAGAGGGAGTTTC